CACCCATGCTCACCCTCCTCACAGTGCTCCACACCCATGCTCACCCTCCTCACAGTGCTCCCCGTCCATGCTCACCCTCCTCACAGTGCTCCTCGCCCATGATCCACCTCCGCACAGTGCTCCCCACCCATGCTCACCCTCCTCACAGTGCTCCCCACCCATGCTCACCCTCCTCAGTGACAATTTATACCTTAGAAGTAGGTTCAAGATCTAGTGAAAAATCTTGGGACAGATTCAGGAATAGCATTCCGGTCTCTTCCCAGCTGACCTGTTCTCCGACCACCTCTGTGAATCTGTGTGCCATGTCCTCAAAGGGCCAAGGACCGACCTGGGAAGCTTTCTACGGGAGAAGATCCTCCTGTAAATCATGGAGACCTGTGGGTCACTGTGTGTCCATGTGCTCTTCTCTCGGCAGTTATGTACTGTACTGACCCCGGGGAGGTGGAGCACTCTACCCGTCTCATCTCAGACCCTGTGCTGCTAGTGGGCACCACCATCCAGTACACCTGTAGCCCTGGGTTTGTGCTTGAAGGGAGCTCGCTCCTCACTTGCTACAGCCGCGAGACAGGAACCCCCATCTGGACATCTCGCCTGCCCCACTGTGTCTGTGAGTCCGTGTTCAATCTGGGGTCATTGTTTCAGGCTTGCTTCCTGCTGCAGAGGAGAAAGGCCTGGGGTGGGGCGGGGAGGCATCCCAGTGCATTCACCACCAAACAACTGGCACTGACGGGGAGCTTATGAGACGGCCTTCGGGTAAACGTGACAGCCCTCTGCTGAACCTCCCTCGCTTCCCTCTCCAGGACCTTGCTGTTGTCTCCTTGTCAAGAAGAGGGTACTAGGGCTGGGGAGACGGCTCAATGGATGAGTCACTGGCCACGCAAACCTGAAAGCCAGAGTTTGAATCCCCGGCACCTGTATAAACATGCTCAGGGGACAGAGACAGGGGGTCCCAGGCTGAGCGTCTAGCTGGATTACTGGAACACAGCTCTATTCAGAGAGAGCTACCACCTCAGTAAAGTGGAAGGTAGTAGAGAAAGATGGCCAATGCCAACATCAACCTCTGACCTCTGTGTGCACCTGACATGCATGAATGCAGTCACACACATGTATGCCCACATGATGCTAACACGTACATGCTTGCAGGACAAGCATACACATGCAAAATGAGAGAGAGAGAGAGAGAGAGAGAGAGAGAGAGAGAGAGAGA